TGACGCAGGTCCTAGTGTTGAGCACTAACAAGCCCAGGAGCTGCATTATCCTTTTCATGTTCTTTCAGGGTAACACTAAAGCTCTGTGTGTGAGCACGTGCGCACACGTGCGTGTGTGTGTGTGTGTTGCACGCAGCACGTGCTCATGCATGTGCACATCTTGGGAACTGAACTCAGGGCCTTTGTACTGAGCTACATCCCCACCCCACACCCCTGTTTGGCTTTTTGAGACAAGGTGTCATTGTACTTCTGGCTGGCCTTGAACACTCTATGTAGCCCAGGCTGGCTCCTGCCTCTGCCTCCCGAGTGCTGAGATTGCAGATTTGCACCACCATGCTTAGCTAATATTAACACAGTTTTTTCAGACTCTAGGAGACCATTTCAAAGACTTGTGACCATTTGAAATAACTACCAAGATAGCTATTAACAACAATTCATTTCTGGCTAACCATGGAGATAACAACTGGCCTATTGAAATCTTGGTAATTATAATACTAAAAGGTGACATTTATCAAGTGCTGGCTATGTGTCAAGAACTGCTGTTAACACTTTACCTGCATGACTGGTTATATACGCAAAGGTGATTAAACAGCTGAATTTAAAATTTAATTAGCTCCTTCTATGTGCAAAGTGGAGGGATGACATAGGTGAATCAATGTCATAAATTCTGAAATATCTCCTGGGTCTAGGGAGATAGCTCAATGGCATAAGCACCTGTCTGGCAAGTGCAAGGTCCCGAGTTCGATCTCCAGTACCGCATGCTGTGCAGGCCTCCTGGGTGTGCTGTGCCAGCCACTGAGATTGGGCATGGTGGCGCATGCCTGTAATCCCAGCACTAGGGAGCTGATACAGGGGGATCACTATGGGTCTGAATTGCATAGTGAGTCCTTGTATCAAAAACTAAAACTAGGGCTACTGATAGCTCAGTGGATTAAAGCACCTACTTAGGTAGACACAGAAATTGGTGGTTCTATCCCTAGCCTGCTGTGCCTGCCCTCCTCCGGGGCGTGCCGAGAAGGCGATTGAGATTGGGCATGGTGATGCGTGCCTGTAATCCCAGTGTTTGGGAAGCTGAAAACAGGAGAATCACTACAAGTCTGATCTGTGTAGTGAGACTCTGTAGACCCTGTAGATCCTGCACAAAAAAAAAGTTAAAAAAATAAAAACCCTAAAAATATAAAAATTAAAATAAAATATCTCCTAAGGCACAGTACATAGCCAAGATTTATTTCTACAATTCTGAAATCTATTACTTGAAAGTCCCAAAGTTTTCTTTTTGGGG